GTTTCTACACAAGTTCTTGATCCCTGCTGAAAATTACTAGAATCGGTCCACAATTTCATGTACCTCCCATACAAAAGTACATATTCCCGAAAAATGGGTTTTTTGTAAATAACTTCCGCCACAATGTTGATATCTTCACAAAATTTTGCACATTAAAGTCTTATGTCAATAGAATTCATACGGAGAAAACATTTTTTGCATGGGTCCATAATTGGACATAGTTCCCATACAAGGTCCCCTCCCGAAAATCACTTAAACGCGCATAACTCATCACCAAATCAAGATATCCATATAAAATTTGGTATAAGTATTGTCCATATGCATAGAAATATTACTGTGAAATTGTTTTTGGATCGGTCCATAATTGGTCATAGCTCCCATACAAGGTCCCCTCCCGAAAATCACTTAAACGCGCATAGCTCATTACTAAATTAAGATATCTATATAAAATTTGGTACGAGCATTGCCCATATGCATAGAAATATAACTGTGAAAATTTGTTCCGATCGGTCCATAATTGGCCATAGCTCCCATACAAGGTCCCCTCCCGAAAATCACTTAAACGCGCATAACTCATTACTAAATTAAGATGTCCATATAAAATTTGGTACGAGCATTGCCCATATGCATAGAAATATAACTGTGAAAATTCTTTCCGATCGGTCCATAATTGGTCATAGCTCCCATACAAGGTCCCCTCCCAAAAATCACTTAAACACGTATAACTCATTACCAAATTAAGATAACCATACAAAATTTGGTATAAGTATTGTCCATATGCATAGAAATATTACTGTGAAAGTTTTTTCCGATCGGTCCATAATTGGTCATAGCTCCCATACAAGGTCCCCTCCCGAAAATCACTTAAACGCGCATAACTCATCACCAAATCAAGATATCCATATAAAATTTGGTATAAGTATTGTCCATATGCATAGAAATATTACTGTGAAATTGTTTTTGGATCGGTCCATAATTGGTCATAGCTCCCATACAAGGTCCCCTCCCGAAAATCACTTAAACGCGCATAGCTCATTACTAAATTAAGATATCTATATAAAATTTGGTACGAGCATTGCCCATATGCATAGAAATATAACTGTGAAAATTTTTTCCGATCGGTCCATAATTGGCCATAGCTCCCATACAAGGTCCCCTCCCGAAAATCACTTAAACGCGCATAACTCACTACTAAATTAAGATGTCCATATAAAATTTGGTACGAGCATTGCCCATATGCATAGAAATATAACTGTGAAAATTCTTTCCGATCGGTCCATAATTGGTCATAGCTCCCATACAAGGTCCCCTCCCAAAAATCACTTAAACACGTATAACTCATTACCAAATTAAGATAACCATACAAAATTTGGTATAAGTATTGTCCATATGCATAGAAATATTACTGTGAAAGTTTTTTCCGATCGGTCCATAATTGGTCATAGCTCCCATACAAGGTCCCCTCCAGAAAATCACTTAAACGCACATTATTCATTACCAAATTAAGCTATCCATATAAAATTTGGTATAAGTATTGACCATATGCACAGAAATATTACTGTGAAAGTTTTTTCCGATCGGTCCATAATTGGTCATAGCTCCCATACAAGGTCCCCTCCCGAAAATCACTTAAACGCACATTACTCATTACCAAATTAAGATATCCATATAAAATTTGGTATGTGTATTTACCATATGCACAGAAATATTACTGTGAAAGTTTTTTCCGATCGGTCCATAATTGGTCATAGCTCCCATACAAGGTCCCCTCCCGAAAATCACTTAAACGCGCATAACTCATTACTAAATTAAGATATCCATATTAAATTAAGATATCAATATAAAATTGCCCATATGCATAGAAATATTACTGTGAAAATTGTTTCCGATCGGTCCATAATTGGTCATAGCTCCCATACAAGGTCCCTTCCCAAAAATCACTTGAACACGCATAACTCATTACCAAATTAAGATAACCATATAAAATTTGGTACAAGTATTGCTCATATGAATAGAAATATTACTGTGAACATTTTTTACGATCGGTCCAAAATTGGTCATAGCTCCCATACAAGGTCCCCTCCCGAAAATCATTTAAACGCACATTACTCATTACAAAATAAAGAAATCCATATAAAATTTGGTACAAGTATTGTTCATATACACAAATATATTACTGTGAATTTTTTTTCCGATCCGTTCATAATTGGTCATAGCTCCCATACAAGGTCCCCTCCCAAAAATCACTCAAACGCGCATAACTCATTACTAAATTAAGATATTGCTTATATACACGGAAATATTACTGAGAAATATGCACAGAAATATTACTATAAAAGGGTTTTACGATCAGTCCATATCTGGTCATAGCTCCCATACAAGGTCCTTTCCCGAAAATCACTTAAAAGCACATAACTTTATATACATAATTGGTCATAGCTCCCATACAAGGTCCTTTTACAAAAATCTCTTAAACGCACATTACTCATTACCAAATAAAGCTATTGATACAAAATTTGGCACAAATATTAGTTTTGTATACAAAAATTCTATTTCAAGATTTTTTCACGATCGGTTCATAACATGGGTGCGGTCGGTCCCATACAAGGTTCCATTCACAAAATCACTTAAACACACATTACTTATTACTTAATTACGATATAGATACAAAATTTTACTGAAATATAGCTTTTATGTACAGAAATTTTACTTAAAGAATTTTTTACGATCGGTCTATATTTGGTCATATCTCCCATACTAGGTCCTTCCCCTAAAAGCGCTTTAACCGTATTTAACTAGTTGCATTATCTATTTGTGTAGAACAATCCTTAATTTTTTTCACACACATGCATACATGCAAATTACTAAATATTACTAAGCCCTATAAAAATATAAAGAAAATGGCGTTTGTAATGTTCAATAAATCTTGGAATTGTAATAGATTTAAGCTGTAAATCATGGGATTTTTCTATTTAAGACATTAGAAAAGTTATTTCTACAAATATTTGATGCATTAGAAAAGTATTAATATAAAAGTAGCTGGTGGAGGGTATTTAAGATTCGGCTCAGCCGAATATAGCACTCTAACTTGTTTATTAATAAATTGTTATTTTATTTTGAATTATTGTTTTCTTTTTGTACATTATAGTTGTTAATAAAAGAAATCCATTTTTGTATACTTTTATATTATTGTCATAAAAAAAAATAAAATAAATAAGATTGGTTTATAATTTTTTATTTTATTGAAACAGAATATGTATTCTGTTGAGGCCCGCGACAGCGCCTCCGAGACAGCAGATGAAGACTGCCTTGACTTGGACATAGAGCCCCTACTTTAAATGTGCCCCTTCTGCTCGCTACGCTTCTGAATGGTGCTTAAGGAGATTGACAGGTGTCAAAAACTGACGTCCTGTCAATCAGCTTAAGCGCCATTGCAGTTTTTTCTTTAATAAAAAAAACCTCAGCAGCGTCAGCAGCAAACAAACCCTAAAACCCAAACCTGAAAATAAAGGAAGTTATAACGTTTAACCAAACCTGTGTTCTTACTCACCTTGAACCACAAGTAAGTGCAACCTGCATTTTATTTCCAAAGTTAATTATTTGTAAATAATTAACTTTGGTTTTGTGTTGTTTCAACTACGTTGAAACAGCTCCAACAACAAATTTCCCTACTAGAGACAGAAATTTGTTTATGGTCCTTAAAAGCCTTTGTATTGAACTGGTGACCAAACAGTAGTTTAATTATCTGAAATTATTTTTTTTTCCTTTTCGTTTTTGAGCTTTAAATATTCTCACATTTTTTTGTTTTGTTTCTTGGCACATTAAAATAATCAAAAATAAAAACACATACATATGTACGTACATCCATTGTTGTTTTAAAGTGGGAAATAACCAACAATCAAGTGCGGTTGATTTTAGAATTGTTTAAACCCAGTAAATTTATTATTTATAAAATACTACTACGTGGTAATTCATAAATATTTAACAAAAAAAAAAAAACATACATTATAAAATAGTTCCGCGCATTTACAGTGCCAGCGGTCATTCAAATAAGTAAGGTTCTATAAATCGACTCTAAAACAAAGTCGAAAAATCAACTATCTTGTAAGAAATAAGTCGAAGAATCAATTTCACAAAAAAAAAAAAAAAGTCGACTATTTATTAGACGCAAAAAAGTCGAAAACCTGACTTTTCATAAATAGCAAAAAGTCGAAAAGTCAACTTTTTTTGATTCAACTATAGAACCGTACAAAGAAGTATTTGAACTAAATTATATTGTATTTTCCGCGCAATTTTACAAATTGCCTGCGGATCTTATAGAAATAATAATAGTAAAAGGAAAATTGGTCATACCTTGTGCAATATTTGTTTAATTAATCTATATGCTATTACTAAAACTAGCTGAGGTTTTATATAAGATTTAAAATTTATAACAACCAAGTTATTACGTAAATACATCGCGAATCCATTGCGATTTCATTTTAACAATTAGTTATTTTATTAATATATTTTGATGATAAATTTGTCAAAGTTACTACGTAACGTAAAAGAGTGATAAATTCGGAAAGTTTAATTTCTAAATTACTACTACGTGGTAATTGGACGAAATTTAAGAACAAGTTACTACGTAACAGAGAAAAAATTTTTTTGCTAATCAATGACATTTTCATTTTACAATAACCAAGTTATTACGTAAAATAAGTGTTTCATAGCAAATTCTTTCCGATTTCATTTTAACTGTTAATCAGTTTAATAATAAATTCAAATTAACAAATTTGCAGTTAAGTTACTACGTAACGTAAAAAAGCGCTTAATTTGAAAATTTTAACTTCTAAATTACTACTACGTGGTAATTGGAAATATTTTAAGAATAAGTTACTACGTAACGGGAAAAATATAAAAAGTCTGCTAAACCTTAGCAATTCACTTTTATTGATCAGTTGGTAATAATTGAGCATATTTACTAATAAACCATCGGTCAAATTAAAGTTCAACATATAATGGGTAGTCAAGCTCACTCAAAATTTGTCATAGAGACAGATAATTTATTTGATGAATGCGAAAGTTTCTCAAAATTGCATGCAGAAGATTTAACAGAATCTTTGGTAGAGGCAAAATTAGAATCTTTAGAGGAAGACTGGAAGACGATTCGAACATCCTATGAGGCGATATATAGTGCGGCAGATTCCTTAATATCGCCCGAATTTAAAGAGTTATCACGAACTAGGTTTCGAGAATGTAGAGAGAAATATCAGTTGACAAAAGCGAGTATGAATGACCTCTTAAAAGCTGCAAAGAGCCCACCTACAGTACAAACTGACCCATATCATTCTTCTACATTAGGTGGCTCATCATTTTATCCAATGAATACTACATTCGACTTATCAGAAGTAGGGTTACGTGTTCCTGCTTGTGATATTAAGGTCTTTAATGGTAGTTATGAAGAGTGGCCAGCATTTAGGGATATGTTTTCGGTTCTCTATCATACAAATCCAAGAGTATCGCAGGTTGAAAAGTTTTTCCACTTGCTAAACAAAACTTCGGGAGATGCATTGGCAATTGTTCGAAAATTCAGTTTGTCGGAACAGAACTACATGCCAGCTTGGAACGCTTTAAAGTCGAGATATGAGAACAAAAAATTTTTAGTAGAAATTCAGATGAAAACTCTATTTAATTTAGAGCCAGCCAAATCAGAGAATAGTGTCGATATTAACAGGATAAGAACAACTATATGTGATTGTTTATCAATGTTAATAGGACATGGTATACGAGTGGACCAATGGGATCCAATTTTGGTATATTTGTGCAGTACAAAATTATCTATTCAAACCATTACTGCTTGGGAAGAGTCTTTAGAATCCGATTCTGATTTGCCATCCTGGCATCAAATGGATACTTTTTTAAAAAGTAGACACCGAGTATTGGAAAGAATAGAAATGGCACGTGACCAAATGTCGGCAAACGAATCAAGTCACAAAGGTGATCAAAAGCCTGGAACTAGTAAAAATATCAAAAAGAGAACAGACACAAATAGTCAGAACTTATGTGTATTTTGCAACGAAAATCATTATCTAAGAAATTGTAGAAAATTCTCTGATTTAACTGTTAAGCAGCGAGTTGATTTTGTAGAACAGAATAAAATATGTACCAATTGTCTTTCGCCTACTCATTTAAATCAGGATTGCAGAAGTATATTTCGTTGTACACAATGTAAAAATAAGCATCATAGTTTATTACATGTGAACCATAACATAAATAATGAACTGGTTTCAAGGGCTAATAGGCCAGTAAATTCATTTCATACTGAATATACACATCCTGTGAAGAGTATGGAAACGGAAAATAATGGCCCGGAAAAGCAGTGTCCCTCTTGTAGTAAACATGATCAGATAAATGTCCAAACTCATCTATCGGTAAACGATGATAATATTCTATTACCAACAGCCTTAGTACAAATCAATCACTTGGGTGATAAGTTCAGTATTAGAGCTCTGATAGATTCAGCTTCCAAAAGATCGTTTCTAACTGAAAGAATACGAAATAGATTAAATTTAAAAACAGAACCTGCAGATTTTGAAATATGTGGATTAGGAGGTACTGTAGTATCTAATTCAAAGAAAATTTGTAATGTAACACTTTGCGCAGAGAAACATAATTTTATACTTGATACTCAAGCTATAATCGTTTCAAACTTAACAAGTTTGATGCCGTCAACAACAATTTCCAATCCTAATCTTGACGAGATCAGTGAATTGGAATTGGCGGATCCGAAATTTTATGTTTCTTCGCAGGTAGACATGTTATTAGGAAGTGATATATTACCATATATTTTACTCGAGGGGACTCGTCAACATGTTTTAGGAAATATGGTAGCACAAAATTCAGTATACGGATGGTTTGTATATGGCCCTTTCAAAATAAACTCCCTTTCACTCGTTACAGTTGATATAAATGAAAAAACTAGGGAATCCAATGAAATTTGTGTTCAGCTTAGGAAGTTTTGGGAAACTGAAGAGATATTTAACAGTAGTGTCTTATCAGAAGAAGATAAATTTTGTGAAAAACTATTTGCAAAAACCACTTTTCGACGAAAAGATGGAAGATATGTGGTAAAGTTACCATTCAGATCAGAGTTTCCAGAAATAATAAATCTATCTTCATCTCGCTACCAAGCAAAGAAACAATATCTTCACATGGAAGCCAATTTAGCTAAAAAATCAAATCTTCTGGACATTTATAATAATATATTGAAGGAATATATAGATTTAGGTCATATGAAAAAATGCAATTCAACTGAAATAGAAGAACATGGAAAATACTATTCATATTATTTGCCACATCATGCTGTGTTTAGACCTGAAAGTGCTTCAACAAAGGTTCGCGTGGTGTTTAATGGTTCACGAAAAACACAAAGTTCATATTCGTTGAATGATATCTTATATAGTGGACCAACCCTTCAGTCAGATTTAATGACTATAATTTTAAACTGGCGAAAATATGAATATGTATTCAATGGCGATATTGAAAAAATGTATCGTCAAATAATGATTAATGAATAAGACCATATCAGAGGATATTGTTCCGCAATGTCACTACAGGTAACATAGAAGATTATGAATTAACTACGGTAACTTTCGGCATAAATTGTGCTCCTTACTTAGCTATTCGAACACTTCTACAATTGGCTGACGAATCTGAAACACTTAATCCATTAGCGTCATTAATATTAAGAAATGAGACTTATGTGGATGATGTGCTATCAGGAGGACATACATTGGAATCAGCAATAGAATCTCAGAAACAGTTGTGCACCGCACTAAATTCTGCAGGATTTCCATTGAGAAAAATAACAGCCAATCACCATAGACTATTAGAACATATTCCAAAGGAAAATCTTTTAAATGACGATTTATTGAAATTTAATGATTCAAGCTCAACGAAGACTCTTGGTATTTGTTGGAACGCTATGAGTGATACTTTCAATTACAAAGTCGAATCTATTTCTCTAGGAAGTACAGTAACAAAAAGGCAAATATTATCTTGCATTGCAAAACTTTTTGATCCGGCAGGATGGCTAACGCCTATAATTATTGAAGCTAAAATGCTTCTTCAGAACTTATGGCAAGATGGTGTAGAGTGGGATGAGAATGTCAATTCACATATATTTCAAAAGTGGAAATTGTTCATTGACAATTTTCATCATATCGATAGAATTCAAATTCCTCGTTGGGTGAATTTTCAACCTGAAAATTATATCCAGTTGCATGGGTTTTGCGATGCCTCAGAAAGGGCATACTGTGCCGCAGTATACCTTAGATCGGAGAATCCAAACCGAAGAAGCACACATTTGCTAGTGGCTAAAAGCAAGGTAGCTCCGCTAAAAAAACTTAGTCTTCCGCGCTTGGAATTGTGTGGCGCCTTACTTCTTTCCAAATTAGTAAGGCAATTGTTATGTGATAATTTGTTCCCAAACACATCTGTTTATTTATGGACAGACTCCACCATTGTTCTTGCTTGGCTTCAAAAACATCCATCTACGTGGAAAACTTTTGTAGCCAATAGAATCTCCAAAATTATTGAAAATGTCGTTGATGCCACGTGGAGACACGTACCTACATCTGAAAATCCAGCCGATCTTGGAACACGAGGATGCAAGCCTCAAGATCTAGTTAATAATCCATTGTGGTGGCATGGACCTCTTTGGCTTCTTAGCTCTCAAGATCACTGGCCAATGTTCTCTCAACCACTCCAAGACGCGCCAAACCAAAGAAAAATATGTCTAATTGCTTGTTCCACAGATCCAGCTCCATCTTCGTCTTTTAAGAATAAAGAGACTGTACTAAAACAACCTTCGAGATCTCAGGTACCGTCAGCAATAGCAGAAAGTGGAGAGGAACTTTCTATTATTAATAGTTTCTCAAGATATCACCGAGCACTTCGCGTTATAGCCTATGTCTATCGTTTCTACAATTTAGCCTCAAAAAAGGTTACAACTTTTCCAGAAACTATAACTCAGAACGAACTCAACAATTCTAAAGTTGTTCTAATACGACTGACGCAAAGGACATATTATTTCTATGAATATAACGACTTGTCCAACTCCAGAGCTATTTCTAAGAAAAGCTCGTTAATAACGCTGAACCCATTTCTAGATTCTAACGGCCTTCTACGAGTTAACGGTCGCTTAGTTAATTCATCTATGAGCTATGACGAAAGGTTTCCCATAATCATTCCATACAAATCGAACTTATGTGAAATGATTTTGAAATTTATTCACCAAAATCTGATGCATGCTGACGTTTCTTTAATGCTTAGTATGGTTAGATACCAATTTTATATTCCAGCTCTAAAGAGAGCCGTTAAAAAATGTATAAATAAGTGCTTAACTTGTGTTCGCTATAAGCAAAGGGTACTATCGCAAATAATGGCAGCTTTGCCAGCTGAGAGAACTACGTTCTCCTTACCGTTTACCTTTACAGGTGTAGACTTTGCTGGACCTTTTCAGATAAAAGCTGGGCATTTGCGAAATTCACCCTATATGAAGGGATACGCCTGCATATTCGTTTGCTTTGCTACACGAGCTATACACCTAGAACCATGTTCCAATCTTTCATCTGAGGCTTTTCTGGCTACATTTGATAGGTTTGTTGGAAGACGAGGTTTACCTAAGCGTCTGATGTCAGACAACGGTACTAATTTCGTAGGCGCTAGTAAAACATTGCTTGCTGAATATGCAATGTTTTTAGAACAATCCTATAGGGATATAGTTGAAAAATATGCTATCCACGGCTTCGAGTGGAAATTCATCCCACCAAGTGCCCCACACATGGGAGGCTTATGGGAAGCTGGAGTTAAAAGCTTCAAGCTTCATTTTAGAAAAGTTGTAGGAAACCATAAATTTAATTTTGAAGAATTCTCTACACTTTTAATTAGGATTGAAGGTGTTCTTAATTCTCGTCCGTTGTCTCCAATGACTGAGGATCCTAAGGATTTAGAAGTTTTAACTCCCGGACACTTTCTACGAGGTTCACCACTAATGGCGCCACCAGAAATGCCAAATGATGATCTAAATATGTCACTACTGAATCGATGGGAAAAATTGAAGGCCCTTCATCATCGATTTGCTCAACGATGGAAGACCGAATACTTGCAAGAACTTCATAAGCGCTACAAATGGAGATATCCAAAGAAGGAGTTGATTGTAGGAGATTTCGTCATTATAAAGGATGAACTACTTCCTCCTAGTGATTGGCGGTTAGGTCGCATTGAAACTATATATCTCGGATCTGATAAACGAGTACGAGTGGCTGATATCCGAACGCAATATGGTTTGGTTACTCGGCCGATAGTAAAACTCTGTTGGTTGCCAATCTTGGATAAGTAGCTTATACATAGTATTCAATTTGTCTAATTTTCAGTAATCTCTCATTACTATATCATTGTACTAACTATCCATCTTTCTCTCTTTTTTGTTTGTTTTTTTTTTCTTTGTTCATATTTTTTTTCAGATAAAAATGGAACCCATTCGTCGCTCAGATGTATGCCTAGTATGTTTCCAAAGGCATCATTTGCGGAAATGCAAAATATTTAACGGGTTTTCTATTAGACAACGCCTTTACTCCGTGAAGGTTCATAGATATTGTTTAAATTGCCTTTCCCAGTCGCACCAGGTTAAGGATTGTACCACAGCTTCAGCATGTCGCAGATGTGGCAAAAATCACCACACTCTATTGCACAAAGAAAGTGCTCAGTCGAATGTAGTTAGTTCTCCGCCAAGGCGTTCGGTCCAAGAACGCCTACAGTTACCAATTCGTGATCTTCGGATTCCGAACCGAGTAGCCCCACCTCAACAACGTCGGAGATCACAACATTCCGTTCGTTCAGCATCTCATGGAGAAACCCGTCGAGACACTACCGAAGATTCTGGGGCACTGACTGTAGCCAATGACCGCCGAAGACGCTCGAGGAGAAGGCCTACAATGGTGCAGTTAGCTGACCAAGCAGTTAGCTGACCAAGCAGCCGGCCAAGCTACTACCCATCAGCTGTTGCGACAAATGATCGCTACTATGAATCGGCTTAGTGATTCGATCCTTGCACCCGTGCAAAGGGGGCGGCATGTTGAGGCCCGCGACAGCGCCTCCGAGACAGCAGATGAAGACTGCCTTGACTTGGACATAGAGCCCCTACTTTAAATGTGCCCCTTCTGCTCGCTACGCTTCTGAATGGTGCTTAAGGAGATTGACAGGTGTCAAAAACTGACGTCCTGTCAATCAACTTAAGCGCCATTGCAGTTTTTTCTTTAATAAAAAAAACCTCAGCAGCGTCAGCAGCAAACAAACCCTAAAACCCAAACCTGAAAATAAAGGAAGTTATAACGTTTAACCAAACCTGTGTTCTTACTCACCTTGAACCACAAGTAAGTGCAACCTGCATTTTATTTCCAAAGTTAATTATTTGTAAATAATTAACTTTGGTTTTGTGTTGTTTCAACTACGTTGAAACAGCTCCAACAACAAATTTCCCTACTAGAGACAGAAATTTGTTTATATTCAACTTTGGGTGCAATTTTTATTTTGAAATTAAAGTAAATCGTTTATATACAAGTTTAAGATTCTTATTATCCTAATTTAATAGATAAATATAAACGCTTCACTATTAAATTTTCTCTGTTTATTTATTTTAATTTCACATAGGAATTGAACAACTGTAGATGTTCTAATTAGACCTCTATTTGCCAATTTTGAATTAATTTACTTTTTTATGGACAGTAGTCTTTCATGCTATTATATATTGATACATAATGATACTATTTTATATTTCTTATTATAAATTTAAGCTTTCTTTTAGTATATATTACAAATTAAATTTCTTTGCACAAATATGGAGTGGTTTACTTTTTACTTGTAATGGTTAACAATCTTGGAGATACTATCAACAACGAATTATTAAATAGACTTAATCTGAGACAAACTAATTTAAATGTGGTGCATATCAATGCTCAGAGTATTGTGCCTAGGGCTAATTCCACCAAGTTAGAAGAGATTAGACACATTTTTAAGAATAGTATTTTTGACGTAATAGCTATTTCTGAAACATGGCTGCATCATTACATTTTGGATAGTGCGATAAAAATTGACGGTTATCACATATACAGAAGTGACAGAAGATATATGCGCGGTGGTGGTGTTTGTATGTATATAAAAAATGGGCTTAATACTAGAATGGTCCACACTTTTGATGATGAAGGAAATTGCGAAGGTTTGTTTGTTGAGATTAGAGCTAACAGGTTAGTTAGAATTCTTTTAGGAGTGCTGTATTTACCACATGGAAACTTTCGCGGTTGTGAGGAGGAATTAGCGGATTTGTCGTCAAAATATAATCATATTATTATTACAGGAGATTTTAACATAAATTTATACAACAATGGTGACATGATGAGGACAGAAAGTGCTTCTCTGGGGTTGGGCGTAATACATAATAGTATACCTACACATGTAGACACTCGTTTCCATAGTTATTCATTAATAGATTATTTTTTAGTCTCTTTCCCAAATTTGGTTTGTAAAAACGGTCAGTATTGTTTTCCAGCACTAAATTCTAACCACGCTGCGATTTTTATTTCATATGATATAAAATTGGATAAAGAGGATGATAAAATACGTATTAGGGATTATAGTAGGTTCAATATTGATGATTGCGTTTATGATTTTGACCAAATTGACTTTAGTCCTATCTATAATACATCCGATACTACTTTTCAGATTGACTTTTTCACTCGACAGTTAAAAGGAATTTATGAAAAGCATATTCCGGTGAAGGTAGTGAAAGTAAGACAGAAATGTGATTGGATGCAGAGTAGAGACGTTTGCATTGCGAAAGAAAATAGAAATTTTGCCTACAGGGCTTACTTAGAGTTAAATAGTCATGAAAGATGGGTTACCTTCTGTAAGTACAGAAATAAATTAAAGTCTGTGATAAGGAAAAATAGAGATAGATATTGTCGCAATTTATTTTCATCTGGGGACTCTTCTACAATTTGGAAGGAGTTGAAAAATATAGGTGTTGCCGACAATAACTATAATGGCACATGTAATATCGATGTCGAAGATTGTAACGATTTTTTTATTCTACCTCCTATTACAAACCCACCTTCTATTATGTATTGTCAATATGGAAACAATTCATATAATGATTTTTCTTTTCGAAATATTGATGAGCCTGAGGTGTGGAATGCCTTTATGAGCATAAAATCTAATTGTGCGGGTCCAGATGATCTACCTTTAAAGTTTTTAAAATTAATTTTTGCAAGGATTTGTTCTCACTTGACATATTGTTATAATACCATTCTTACTACCTCTCAATACCCAAAAATTTGTAAAAATGCAAGAGTTGTGCCTAAGGTAAAAAATCCATTGGAATTATCTCATTTTCGTCCAATTAGTGTCGTTAATATTTTTTCTAAAATTCTTGAGATTTTGATCAATAAACAATTAACAGGGTACGTAGAGGAAAATGGATTTATATCAGAAGGACAGTTTGGTTTTAGAAAGGGTTATAACGCTACTAATCTTTTATTGAATATTACTGAGGAGGTGCGTAGTACTGTGGACCGAAAGGAACTAGCCTCCATTATTAGCCTAGACTTCAGTAGAGCGTTTGAGTCTATTTCTCACGAGGTTCTACTCAATAAATTATTTTCCATTTATCGATTTTCCACCTCTGCATGTCGGTTGATTGACACGTTTGTTAGGGGCAGGTCTCAATATGTCCAAATCAAGGAATCATTTTCATCGACCAAAAATTTATTTCGAGGTGTCCCTCAGGGATCAATATTGGGCCCTCTATTATTTTTATTGTACATAAACGATATTTTGAATAATTTGTTACCTTTAAAAGGATTTTTATATGCGGATGACCTACAATTAGTGGCTGTTTCTAATTCAATTTATCAACTAAACCAGAACATTAATGCTTGCATGCAAACTATTGATTCTTGGTGCGTTGATAATTTTATAATTTTAAACGTCTCCAAATCGAAAGCAATGTTTTTTGGAGTTAAAGATGCGATTACGCCTATAATTTCAGTTAATGGAGCTTTAATAAACATAGTTTCATGTATTAAAGTTTTAGGAATATATGTGGATGATGCTCTTCTGTTTTCCCAACATATTAATTTTGTAATTTCAAGGACTCTTTTTGTATTAAGAAGAATTTATAATACGTGTTATAACTTACCGGAGAGAATTAGAAAACAAATCGGTCATTTACTTCTTATGCCATTTTTGTTGTACGGACTAGAGGTATTTTCTGGAACAAGTGCATCGAATTTATTAAGACTTAGAAAAATGTGCTTTAATAGAATCATTCGGTATATCTACCATCTGCGTCCTAGAGATCATGTTACGGAATATGTTTTTGATTTTTTAGGGTGCGCTTTTGAGGATTTCATTAATGTTAGATTGCTTACTATTTTTTATAAATCATATAAACTCAATACACCATTATATTTGATCTCTAGATTCAATTTTTCAAATTCTTCGCGCACTTGTTCTCTAATTTGCCCCAGGTTATTTATATAAACCTTATATAAACCTCTTGTTTTTTTGTAGCTCCATGTTTGTGCTTAGATATAAATAATTTGTATTAATTTTATACTTTTATTATTAAGATTCATTAATAAACTTTTGTGTTAAATTATGTTTTAAATATGTAATCACCTTTTGGCCTACATTGGCTTTTTGATTACAATTAATAAATGAAATGAAATGAAATGAAATGAAATGAAAAGTTATTTGCAACCATATCGGGGCCTTAAATTACCGCATTTTTAAACCTGTACCAATAAATATACCGATCTATCCAATTTTTGTAAAAATTCATTATGCCACAAATTATACACAAAAACAAAGTGCAACTGTAATGCATTAAAATGATGCATAAATGACTGTCATAGCATGAAAACTGTCAAAGTTATTCACAACCATATCGGAACCTCAAATTACCGCGTTTTTAAACCTGGGAAAATAATTGTACCGATTTATCCAATTGGCCGTTTTCTAAAAATACATTATGGAATAAATTATATACCAAAGCAAATGGCAACTATAATGCAATAAAAAGATATATAAACGACTGTTATAACATGAAAACTATAAAAGTTATTTGCAACCATATCGGAGCCTTGAATTACCGCATTTTTAAACCTGTACCAATAAATATACCGATCTATCCAACTTTTGTAAAAATTCATTATGCCACAAATTATACACCAAAATAAAGTCAAACTGTAATGCTTTAAAATGATGCATAAACTATTGCCCTAGCATGAAAACTGTCAAAGTTATTTGCAACCATATCGGAACCTCAAATTACCGCGTTTTTAA